AGTTCTCTCGGTCATGAACTGGCTAGAGATCAGTCCAGTCTTCGTTGCAAATCGCTTCTCTCGACTCTCTGAGACAAAAATCTACACAACAAACCACATCTATATATAATTTGTATTCAATAAAAAAAAACAATCATCCACCTCTATCCCTCCCCCCCCCCCCCCCCCCCCCCCCCCCCCCCACCCAACCCCGTACAAACCATTTAAGCATAATGCCTGTTATCATACACTGATCTGGCTGCATGGTCATTAATAGAGAGCAAGAGAGAGAGCTGAGTATTTCTCAGCCAGAGCTTTCTCTCAGCCACTCACTCCCCCACTCTCTCCTTGTGTGTTGGGTGGGAGAGAGGTAGATAGAGCTTTTGCTTGTATATTTGCTGTTGTATTTAACAGCTAGCCCCGCCAGCAAGCGGGTGCAGTTTAGATTCGGTTTGTGGGGTTTTGGTTGTCGTTGGCGCTGCTCTGCTGTGTTCTCAATGTGTGTGGAATATTTTATTTATTTTCGGCCTGGCTTCCAGAGAATCAGCGAAAACGCGAACGTATAGAATGTGTGCCGTATGAACTTTCATTTCACTTTCAATTTCCTCGTCGTGTGTTCCATTTATGTGTGATTTATTAGTGGCTGTGCTGTAATGTGTGTTTTCGAAACCCTACCAAAAAAAAAGACATTCCGAACGACCCTTTCTTTTTTTCTGCCACACTTTACGCTGTGTGTTGGTGCTTTATCGTGTATTGCTTTTGTTGTTGATATTCGTAAGCGACGCACAATTCTGTTGCTGGTGTAGCGGCGTTTTTGCTCCAGTTCCAGTTCCATCAAAGCTCCCCGTAAAGCAGTGCATCATCGACCACTTACCGTTACCGGTATAAGCAACATGGAAGCGGTACGTACATTTATCCCGCCCGCACTCACACAACAGCTTTTATCAAAGCCCGAAATATGAAATCTGAATTCGGAAATATGCAAAACAAAATCCGTGTGTGTGTGTTGTTGTCTTTCTGTCTGTCCGTTGTCTATCAGCCAAAAAGGTAGACAGGGGCGACGAGAAAAACAGAGTCGAGGGCATCTGTTACAAAGTCCAGAAGCGATAATGCTGTGGGGAGGCATTGCGTAAAAGGTTAAAGTCTCTGAGATTGGGCTTCAACCGTGTGTGGGCTATTATTGCCGTGATACGAATTCTGGAATATTAAGAAGAGACATATGGCATTGTTAGGATTTATGGGCTAAAGTTCTTAACACCGGGAGACTTTAACGAAATTTTGAGGAATGAGTCAAATATAATTCTGTGATAAGGGTTTTTAATTGGGGGTAATACATAAGATTTCAGATAATTATACATGGGTTTACGAACCCAAAAAGAGATTTTGAGTACAGGAAAATAAAGCAGTCTGTATTTTGTCCCTTTCTTGACTGCCTTGACAAAAAAGATAACTATCAATACTTTTACATATTAATACCCATACTACATGATGTACAGAGTAAAGGAAATTATATAATAGGATATGTTTTATCTCCTCGAAAAGTTGAAATTATAATGACGTGGCAGTTATTGCACAGGAAAGCAGACAAGTCTGTGAAAAAGTTATTAAATGTTTGGGAAACAAATTTGAAATTTCACGTTTCGTTCGACATGCAGCAGAGCCCCTCGGTCTTCTGGCTGGGAATATGTTTCAGCTTTAACCTTTAAATTATATTTATTTGATGCTCACACCAGAACTTTATCTATATAAAACAATATATATATATATAAAGTATTACTTATTCTGCCAATCCTGAACTACTCTCTGGTAAGCCCCCCCGTAAAACTATAAGTCTGGGCCCTCAACTATCGTCTAATCTTTTGTGTGGAAAGTTTTATCTTCATTTCGCGCACCTGTAAACACAGGAGAAATAAAGCAAAACATTTCAAATCCCGAACTTGAGAATATCAAATAACAAAACTTTTATTGCAGTTGGAGAGTAACAATGCGAATAGCTACAGATTCGGCACCATTGACTATATTGTATTTCTGGGCATGATTGTGCTCTCGACCACCACTGGCATATATTTTGGATGCATCAAGTGAGTAATGAGCCATAGATCCTCAGAGGTTGGTTAACCTGGAATGATTCATTATAGAAAGAGTAAACCGAAGCTGGAGGAGACGGAACCCACATTGCCAACGACAACGCCAGCGGTGCGAAGGAAACATGATTTTGGTTCGGAAAAGATGAGCGAATATCTGCTGGGATCAAGGAATCTCAAAGTATTCCCAGTTGCCATGAGTCTGATAGCCAGGTGATACCGACTTTAATGATTATCTTTACTTTGTGATCTATCTAATCTTTGTATTTTTATTTCCAGCTATATATCTGGCGTTACGATACTCGGCACCACATCGGAAATCTACAATTATGGCACGCAATATTGGTTTATAGCCATCGCAATTGTGATGCAGGGTATTGCTGTATCCTATATTTATATACCGGTATTTTCTGCTCTACAAGTTGGCTCTTCCTATGAGGTACTATATTTATAAACAATTTAATTTATGGTTCAAGTTTTTGGCTGATAAGCAACGAGAAAATACTTGTTAGAAGTGTGACATACGATGTCTCACGAACTCTCTGTTTTCTGTTTCCCACATTTGTTGTGCATGCACAATCAATGGAGGGAAATGACATTTCAATTAATTGTTCCAGGCTTCTATCCGGACTTTGGTCTAGGCCACTTGTTGCGTCCGCATAGCGTCGGTCGTCTCAATGGGTCGATGATATGATTAATTACAAAGTTTGCTTCCTCTGCCACTTGACAACTGTCCGAAACACTATTGTTTATTTTATGTCCCTTCTCTGTTCTGATACAACAACAACCAGCCATGTGTGAAGAATGTTCACTGTTCTTTAGGCAGTAATTTCTCTGTGTGACTGGGTTTGCATGTCAGTCAAAGAGCACTGAACACTGAGCACTGGCTTATGGTTAGCGGTGATTGCCAGGCATTCACAGAGCAACTATATAATGCTACACCTTAGCCATTTAGCTGCACACACATTGTAATCTTTATAATGATTTAAATAATAATTTAAATAATACACTCTGATGTGAAATTTCGAATTATTCTTTGCACAAACCCTTCGCAATTTATGTTTATAGTTTTCTTTATAGAAATTCCCACGATTTCTCTTTACGTGTCACAACTTCTAAAATAACTATCCTAATCTCTTGTAGTTCCATCACAAAAACTCAGACCAAATGTTTACAAATTATAATACAATTTGGTAGAGTCTGGTACATGATTTTTTGCCTAAGAATTCCCACAATTTCCTGCCGCATTCTCTGCTACAAAATTCTCACAAAATATGAAGCTAAATTAAATTTTAAAGAATTTATGAAAATCTAATTAGATAATGTTTAGCCAAAAATGCTATAATTTAATAAAATAAATATAATCTTTACCTTATTTTCCTCTCCATCTTATTGTCATTTTCTGCTTTCTTTTATTTGCAGTACCTGGAAATGCGGTTCCATTCGGTGATTCGCAGCATAGCATCTTTTATGTTCATTTTGGATGAGGTAAAGTGCACGCTGATGCCTTCAATTATATTTTAATTAATATTAAAACCATTTCAGATACTATTTTTGCCCTTCATTGTCTATGTGCCAGCTTTGGCTTTAAATCAGGGTAAGAAATATCTTCAAAAACTGCGGAAATACCTCTTTAATCATTGATTTCTCTCACCTTTATAGTCTCCGGCATCAATCTTCACGTCATAGCAGTGGTGATCGTAGTTGTTTGCGTTTTCTATACGTTTGTGGTAAGATATATTAATTTATTTAGCTTAAATTGTCCATTTTTAATACCTTAAATTCCGTTTCCAGGGCGGCATCAAGGCTGTTGTCCACACAGATGCCTGGCAGGTGCTGGTCATGTTCCTCTCCGTTCTGGCTGTGGCTGTTTTGGCCACCTATTATGCCAATGGTTGGGATGCTCTGTTCGATGATGCCTCCAAGGGCGGACGTCTGATCTTTACCAACACGGATCCCTCACCATATGTGCGTCACACTATCTGGAGCGTGCTCATTGGAGGCTTCTCCTATTGGACCTCCTTCAATGCGGTGAATCAGACCATGGTGCAGCGTTACATGTCGCTGCCATCGCTGAAAAAGGCTCGTGCTTCAATGGCCATTTTCACCATAGGAGTGGCTGCCTTTGTCTCCGTTTGCTGCTATGTGGGTTTGCTGATCTTTGAGATGTACAAAGATTGCGATCCATTGAGTTCGGGTTTGATAACGGTGAGGAAAAAAAATCGGGAAAAGTTTCTTATTTCGTTGCTTAATTGTCTCTCTCCTCCCTTAGCACGACGATCAACTGTTGCCCCTCTTTGTGGTCCAGAGTGTGGGTCACATCTATGGCATGCCAGGACTCTTTATTGCTGGAATATTTGGCGCTGCTTTGAGCTCACTTTCGGTGGTGTTGAACTCCACATCTCTGGTCATTCTGGAGGACATTGTGCGTGGCTGCTTCAAGATGAAGCCCAGCGAAAGAGCCTCCAACATTGTGGTCAAATCCACCGTCATTGTCCTTGGCTTTGTGGCACTTTCCTTGGTGTTTGTGCTCGAACAGCTGAGTGGAATTCTGAGCATTTGCACCTCGATGACGGCCATTGCAGCGGGCACGACCTTTGGTCTGTTTACGCTCGGCATGCTCGTGCCCTGGGCCAACACAGTGGGCACTGCTGTGGGTGGCATAGCCAGTGCTCTGCTCGCTGGTTGGATATCCTTTGGCACACAGTTTACCATTGCAGCGGGCGAACTCAATTCCCAGAAGCTGCCCATTTCCGTGGAGGGTTGTGTGGGCAATGTCACGTTGCCCGAGAACATTTGGGTGGATGAGGAGCAAGTTTTTCCGCTGTATCGACTGTCCTATCACTGGATAAATCCCATTGGTGTGGCCACAGCGATAGTCGTGGGTGCACTCGTCTCGCTGGTGACCAAACCCACAGATATAAAGAGTCTTGATCCGGATGTTATATCACCAGTGATTCACAGGTAGCTATTAATAGATAGAGAAATATTATTATTGATTTAAATATCATTTTCCCTTTGCAGATTCCTGCCAAAAGAATGCTTTGTGGGACGCAATCTTCGTGAGCAGGTGCACAAGAACCTCCTGAATAGCAGCACATGAGTGCCAAATATTCTAGCAAACGTTTATCAGGCTGCATAGCATTGTATTCCAAACAATTTTTGTTGTTGGTTTAGTCTGTAGTTACCTTAGAAATAATCTAGTACAAACCGAAGTACAGGAACCGATGAATCTGCATGGAGTCGGAGGGGTATCCCACCAGATACAACATTCTAAATGCATAATCATTTAGTGTAATTATTATTTGTATTATTAATTTAGCTTTATTGATTCTCTTTCGGTTTCATTTTTTGTAAGCATTATTCTCCGATCTATCCTTTTTTTGGCATATTTTTTTGTTCTATTTGATCGAGCTGCAGCAGACCGTATTCCGTGTGACTTTACAAGCATATTAATGTCTGTGATAGAATTCAATAAACACAACCACCCATACACGCGATTTTCACTAGCAAAAGCATCAGCAGCTGGAGGTGGAGAGCATTTTGAATGATATGAAAATTGTCTTCTGTCTGTGTTAATTTTCACAAAAATGTCTAATACTAAAAACTAAGCCCCAATTAGGCATTAAATCACAAAAGAGACAATTGACTCTTGTACTTTGCTTCGAAAGACTGAATGAATTTGGAATTAATAATAACAATACAAACTAGTGATGCTTTGGATGCTGATCTGTGTCCAGATAGCGGCTGCTGCGCAAGGATTTCATGAGCCGCCAGGCAATGACCAGGAGACAGATTAAGCCGGCACACATGTAACTATTATAGACAAATTGCTGTGGCAGCATTTTGCACTTGGAAACCACATAGTCATCGGGTGTTAAAGTGGCCTAAAAGAGGAAAGCCATTAGCAGGTTACACGTATAAGTTCAGTCTTAGCGTTTACTTACCAGCATAAAGCTAGGATTTATCTTATTCCGCCAGCTAAAAGAGGCGACCGTAAATTCATCAATGCCCAGCCGATTGATGCTGTGACAAAAGTGATGCGAGTGCCCCGCAAAGGCTAGGCGTGGCTTCAGCAGCTCACCCAGCATGTCCGTGGACTCTTTGGAAAGCACATGAAAGCGCTCGCGATAGGCCTCAATGAAGGGTGCATCGTGCTCCTGGCACATGGTATCCGAAATGCGGTACGTAGGAAAATGCTGAAGCAGTATGGGCTGACTATACGGATGGCGACGTGTGCGTGCACACTCTGCCTCCTCGGGATACTTCATGCAGTGCAGAGTGCGTGAAATATTCTTCAGGGCAGATTCTGCCTCATTGCAGAACATACAGCCATCGGCCTCCATGGCCATAGAGTTGATAATCACAAAATGAATCTGTTTAATGGTATACAAGTGCACCAGCGAGTAGTTAAGATCATTCTGAAAGCGTGACATGAAGAAGGGATGCATTCTGCAACATAGAAACAGCTAAATTAGTGCATCATATGCGATAAATAATAGATTTGTAACCTACTTGTAATGGAAGCCCACGTCATGGTTGCCCACAACACTAATTAGCGGTATGCCAGGCGGTAAGCGAAACATTTGCAAGTACCTCCAGACGTATTCCTTGAATTGCTTATCGCTAACCATATCGCCTTCATCGAACAGATCGCCCAAAACGAAAACAACGTCCGGCTGGAAGAGGCGTGAGGCCGCCTGGAAGGCTCTGGTCATGTGCCATTCCCTGTAGAACTGGTCCAGCCAGTGGCCGCGATGGGGGCCCAGTAAATGGGGGTCGGCTATGATCATGGCACGCAGGGGATCATCCACATACTTCTTACGCTTTATCTCTGGCCATTTGCACTTTTGCAGAACCACAAAATCGGCCACATATTCACAGAATATGAGAGCACACAGTATAATTACAAAGCAGGCATAAAGCCAGCGCATTTTAGTTTGTTAACACACTAAATTTAGTATAACTACCGGCGAAATTAACTAAAACAAATATAATAATAATAATAGCGACTAATTTCGATAAAGTGTGTTGTTGTTGTTGTGTTTTCCTCCCCCCAGCCCGATTACACATGTGCTTGAGTGTTGTAAAATGCGGTAATAGAGTGCTTGTAAAATACCATTAGAGGCGCGGAATTCGAAAATAGTCAAGGTTATGTTTTAAGCTAATGTAGCAAAGATTTTATTTGGAATGGCATTGCATTTTGTAAATGCTGTGAATATGCTTATCTAAAAGAGATCATAAAAGTAATTAAGGCCCTGTCCCAACTCCCAAATGGATATGCCGACACCCAATTCTTGGGCCAGCTTCACACGCTCATTGATGGAGTACAAAGTGGGGTAAAAAACGATGTGGCGACCATTTTCGTTTCTAAAAAGAACACATTACAGGCTGTTCTGCAAAGGTTTACACTTGCCAATAAATTACTCACTTGATTTCAAAGAAATTCTCCACATCACGCTCATCGTAGGTCAAATGTTTCTTCACATTTTTCACCAAGTCCAAATACTGCGAAAAGGTGATAGGTCCACCGCCATCGGGTGTGTAATCATTGCCGTACATGTTTAGTCCCAGGAGTATCTTCGAACGCTTGGCCTCCATGTCAGAACAACCCTTGGGGGCAATTGTCTCCACAGCCTGACGAACAAAATACAAAGGAGCATTGGCGCCCGGTCGCTGCACGCTGGAGAAGTCGTAAGTCATCAAGGAAAAGGCGTATATGTGCTTGTACAGCGTGTCCATGTGCTTCTCCCCAAAGAGAATGCCTGTGTCCTTGCGAAAGGGTGGAATGACCAGGATTAGACGCAGCTGCTGCTTCTGGAGTTCCTTGGCTGCAGAGAGACAAGAATTTAGTTCGATTTTAAATAGAAAAATGGTTAAAAACAAACCCATTTGCAGCACCAAATTGAACAGAATCTTATCGTCAATGCGTCCAGCGAGCTGAGACCATACCTCCAGCACCAGACCATCGAAATGATTGTCCTTGCAGCATTTAATCAGAACCTCATTGACTTTTGTGCGCTCCTTAGCATCGCTGAGCAGCAGCTTAATGTCACGATCGGTAAAGTGATCGAATATAAATCGTGGGAAGACTGAAAAATCGTTTGTAAAGGCAGGAAAGGAAAATTCTTCATGGAATTCTTCTACCTTTTACTGTGCGCTGCAGCTGCTGTTGTTGCACCTTTCCCTTACGCCGGACATCGCTCACCCAGCCCGCATCGATGTCGTGCATTCCAGCCACCGCATAGGCGTCTCCTTGCTTCACAATTTGCAGCCATACAGGAGAGATGATGTCGAACTTCTTGGCAAATATCTTGGCGACATCATAGCCATGAGAGTTCCACTGAAACGGAAGAGAATGCAGAAAGCATGAGCACAGACACGACAGACCCAGAAACTTTGACTCTTCCCCTCACTTACCGGCGTCACATAACCAAGGGTGGTGCCATTAAATCGTCTGGTTGCTGTGTCCTTGTAGTAGGCTCTGTGATGTGCTAGAATATCCTTGGCCAGGGGCTCCGGCGACACCAAACCCAAGCCGAAGACATCATCATCTTGGGGTCCACGCAGCACTTCTTTTTGCTGTTTGCTCTTCGGCTTGTCATTGGGTGACAGCGTGCCCTCGACGTTGGACAATTGACCGACCAGCAGGAAGGAAAGGAGGAGGACCACGAACTCACCAGACGGATGCATTTTTGTAGAAAAAAACGGATCACAAAATCATAACAAAGTGGGAGCAAGAGTAGGAACGCGAACTTATCGATAAAATATACTCTCAGAAATATACCTTCTCGTTGTCAAAATACACTGTAAATATACAGAATCGTAAATCATTTTCCTCGGTTTTGCTATTCTATTTACTATTACCAGCTAGTTAGGGCTCTTAGCACTGAAACTATAATTTTATCCGATTGCTGAATCAATTGTCCACAAGATATGCTATCTTTCAAAACTTCTTTAAATTTGATTGTTGGCAAAGTAAGCTTTAAACTAAAAAGGTCAAGTCGTAAAACATACATCATCTTTGCTGGCCAGACTCACGTTTTACTTTTCTGGTATACTTTTGTATACCCTTTATTATTTAATTAATATTAAAATTTTCTTTTTCCAAGCAGCTTTGAAACTTTAAATTGAATTTGCCGTAGATTGACATGTTTCTTAGCACCTCAGGCATATGATTTGATATCTGGATATACATATATCTTCGCCCGATACCTATTTTTGGTCTCTGTAGGAGACTAAAATCTGCAAAAATGTCGTTGAGATCGCGCTACAATAATGACTGACTAGTTTTTTGATTGATGGGAGTCTGGGATGACAAACCTTACCTCAACTCTATAATAGCCTATTCGCCCAGGGTAGCAGAAGATTGCTCATTTCGTTGTGGCGGAACAAAGTTGCTCATTGAATGTGTCCGGTCATCGATTTTATGCACTTTCCAACACTCTGGTACGGGTGGCGCTTGTTTTGAAACATAGGGCATGCTCTTGTATTTTTATAAAGTTACAGGCGTTATACATAATTTACTTAGCACTTAATTTTGCTTAGCCACGAGAAATATGTTTAAATAAATCTTAAATCATAATTCTAAACAGAGCACTACATACAATCATATCATATAAACTAAATGGTAACTAATTATCACTTTTAAAAAATGAAAATTGAATTGATTTAAAAAATGGTGTAAAAATAATTTAGACTAAGGGGGGATTTCAGAAGAGTGTGGCCGTGGCGCTGCTGCTCACATATATATATATATGTGTGTATTTATGTATGTATATGTATTTCTCAGACAAAAACACGCATCAGATCGCTGCTGCTGGGCGTGTTGCCGCCACCGGGAGTTGAGTTCTGGCTCTTCCAAGGATTGCTGTTGGCATTAGGAGTGTTGTTGTTGCCGCTGTTGTTGGCAATGGCCAGTATGTTGCTGCTGCTGTCGGACAGCGTACGCAGCAATTGCTTCTTAAGCAGCGGCTGCGAATTCTGTCCAACATTTGAATTGTTTTGTAATGGAAGAGAAAAGTTGGGTGAACGTTGCCTCAGCACTTGCTCTTGCTGCTGCTGTGGCTGGAGGTATTGTGGCTGCTGCTGTTGCTGCTGCTGCTGTGGCTGACGTTTGGGAGACTGCTGTTGCTGCTGACTTTTGGCCAGTAGCTTTCGTCGCTTCTCATAGAAACTATGTGTAAGCTTGTGGTCCGGCTGCTGCTGCTGCTGCTGCTCCAACTCCTCCTTCAGCTGCTGCTGCTCTGGCTCTTCGTTGTCCATTTGCTTTTCCTTTTTCACAGCCTTGCCCAACAGCAGTTCATTCAGGCGCTTGGCTGTCATCAAACCCTTGCCCGCCTCCAGTCGCGACGGCACCAACGTCCGCTTGTTGCACCTCAGTCGATCCTGCGCTATGACACTCGATTTCTGTGCATAAATGGTCTTGCCAGCGGCAGCTGCGGCATTTTTCACCAACAAACCCGTGGCCGAGCCATTGTTGAGCGCCGTATAGTTATTCGCATGTGGCGCGGGCGGTGGTGGGCGTGCCAGTTGGCCAACAACGCCCAAAGTGCTGCCATTGAGAGACAACAAACTGTTGTTGGCCTTGCGTGTGGTCAGCAGATTCTTGCGCAAAGTGGCGCCCAGCCCGTTGGGCAGCTTCACCAGACCGAAAGTGTTCATGGCCAGGGGTCGGGGTTGGCCTGAATAATGCATAACATTGAAGTAGCTCTCCTCGTGGCATTTGGCATGAATCAAAGTTTGTTGCTTGATGAAGCTTTGTGGCTGGCTGTTGGTGGCTTCCAGCTTAACAGTCTTTGTTGTGGTTGTTGTGTTTGATGTTGTTGTGTCGCTAACAGTCTCCAGTTTTGTGAAATCAAAATCATTAAAATCATCATTCAATTGACTGACATCTGTGGTGCCTGCTGCTGCCTGTGCTGCTGCTCCTCCTGTGGCCGCTTGCAGCACATTCACATCAACATTCTCATAGCCCGCTTGTGTGAGGAACTCTGCTATGACCTTTTGCTGCTCCAGCACCGACACTTGATTCGTGTCTGTAATCTCATATATAATACTTGGCAGTATCATATGCTCATCGAGCTGTTGCTGCTGCTGTTGCACCTGCACATCCTGCTGCTGTTGCTGCTGCTGTTGAACCTCCGCATCATCCGTCAGCGACTGCACATTGTACACACTGAACTGTTGCTGTTGCTGCTGCTGCTGCCCGTTGGCGCTTGCTTGCAGCTCCTCTGGGAGTTCCTGCTTTTGGCGTTCGGCCTGCTCCAGCTGAAGCTGCTGCTGATAGATGAGCTGCTGCAGCTGCATGGCATCGATGGTGGTCAATTGACTCTGGTTATCCTCGCCATATACTTGCTGCTGGTTCGACTGTTGCTGCTGCTGCTGCTGGTACATGTATTCCTCACCCATTTCAGCAGCAACATCATCGTAGCGCAGTCTTTTTGTGGCTTGTGCCGCATGCTGTGGCGTACCATTTGTCTGTTGTTGCTGCTGCTGCTGCTGTTGGGACGTGTCCAACGCACTTTCATCAAAGTTTTTCAGAATCTCATTTATCAATTTGCTGTCCAGCATTTCATCCAGTGTCAAGGAAATGGAATTCTCATCGGTTGTGCTCGCCAGCGGCAGTTCTTCCTCTTCGGTTGGCTGCTGCTGCGACGCCTCCTGTGACGCCACTTGGCCGGTAATCGAGGACACTGCCTGATCGAGTTCACTCATCAAACCCACCTGCTGCTGCTGCTGCTGTTGTTGTTCGTACTGACTGGCCAGTGGCTTATCCTTGGACGCTTTTGTTCGATGATCGCTGGATACCTTCAGCTAAAACACGAATTTGATTAGAAAACGTTTACAAAGACGGAGCACACTACCTTCTTCTTTGGCTGAAGTTCGGGCTGCTTATCCGCGTCCGCCGCAACACCAGGCTGTTGATGATTGGCAGGAGAGTAATTCACGCTTAGGCCAACGCCCGCAACCAGCTCGCTGGGTGGCAGGGAGCAGGATGAATTCGAGGATGAGGAGAACACGGTTATGGGCGCCGGTGCAAACTCTTCTTTGATGCTGCCAGACACCCCTGAAGTTGCCGCTGCTGCTGCTGCTGGTGGCGCGGCTATGGCACTGCTGCTGCTGCTACTACTTTTTTTGGAGGAGGAGCTGCTCGTCTTCTCCTTCAACTCTGGCGCAGGGGCTGGCGATGAATGGTGACGATTCTTCGATGATTTCGAACGTGAACGACTGCTGCTGGTCCCGCTGCTGCCTTTGGAGGAGGAACTGCTACTCTTGCTGCTGCTGCTGCTGCTTTTGTGACGCGACGATGACGAGGACGAGGAGCTGCTCGTCGCATTGGCTGCTGTGTGCTGGGATGCTGAACTGCTCGAGCCATTCGAGCAGCTGGACAGTGTGGAGGCGGACAGTGTCTCCGTGGGCGAGCCCCCAGCCAGATTGTCGCCACCCGCTGCGGCTGCTGCTGCTGTATCCTGGCTGTTGGCTGTGCTGTTGTCTCCTGTGGCAGTTGTTAGCGGATTCAATTTGTTCGATGTGGCCTCCCAAATGGCCGGATGCTGCAGTGCTATGTGGTTCTGGAAACCCGCTTTGGTGTAGCTTCCATTGCAGGTGTTGCACACGACCAGATCGCGGGTGGCCAGCTTTGGCACGATGTCATAGTAGGCCATGTCCGCCGCATTCAGACGCTGGACATGGAGCTTGGTCTGGTCACTGCCCGTGCCTGTGCCCGTGGCCTTGCCGCCGCCTCCCCTAAGATACGCCTTCTCCGCTGTGCGCAGCTGCTTGATCATTTTTTCCATGTCAAACACCTGCGTCCATTTCTGGCCCTGCAGGCTGGCCAGGGATACACCAGCGCCACCAAAGAGTGCGCCGCCACCACTGACACCACCGCCTCCTCCTCCCGTCATTAGATCTGCTTTGGATGAGTTGGTCATGGTTTTGTGCTTGGTGCCGTTCTCTGCATAGATTATGCCCGCCGCTCCAGTGGTCGCCAGTGCATCATTCAGGGGCATGGTGTGGTGTGTGGGGTGTAAAAAACTGAAGCTGCGGCTCCTGCTCCTACTCCTGCTGCTCGTCGAGAGAGTGAGTTAGAGAGGGGGGTGGGTAGGTAGAGTAGACAAGCGAGAGAGTTGCCTTAGTGAGGCGCCTCGAGCGCAACTGCAAAAAAAGAAAGAAATCAAGGGATATTTTTGTTAGGGAAAAGCTTACAGGTGAGTGTTGCCCCCCCCACCGGCCCATCCTACGCAAAACCCACACACATAAGCACCCACACACATGCGACACCCCCCCCCCCCCTAAAAATGGCACACACGCACGCGAGAAACAATCGATCAGCTGTTTCTAGTTTATTGCTATCTCATTCGCGCTCACACATGCGCACGCACTCACGGACTCACAACTACACACATACACTTACGCTGTCCAACACAAACGTACGGCATACAAACAAAGCACAATTGAAAGAAAAGAAAAGAATCGCACCAAATATCGAATCGAATCACAAATTTCGCTAGGCCAGTTTTGAATGATGACTGATTTCGACTTACATTTGCGTTAACACACTTCCATTTTGTGATATATATATCCGTTTTTATTCAGTTTTTTTATCCTTTTCCTCCAGTGTGGCCGCGGAATTATCGATAAGATATACCGACGACCCTCGGAAATATACCGTAATATACCAAACAATTTGTGAAATATACTGTATTATATACGATGAATAAATCACGAACGAGTGAACGAACTTAACCCACTTGACCGCCCTATTTTTAAAATGGTATACAAATGGAGCTAAATCGCGGAAAATCACACCGTTTGTTAATTCTCCTTGTAGTTTCCTAATTTCTCCTTACATAAAACATAATGATCATGAAAGCTTTTAGCTGAACTGCTCTAAAATTCTTAGTGTCAAAGATTTCGTGTGGAGTATTTCAACACCACCTGGTTGACAATGGGCTAACATTCCTTTTGATGACCACAATCATATTCCTCGATTTTGTTATCTGATCTAATATTACTAATTAACTAAGGCCCTCAGCGCTAATCGTATGATTTTATTTGATTGATGGGTATATTTTCTGCAAGACTGGTTAACTTTAAGGACTTCCTTTTATTGGATTGTTAAAGAAATAAGGTTTCAACAATAAGGTCAACACAAATGTCCCGTTTTTACATGGTAACTACACGGTAACTGGCAATTTTGCTACATTTGAACAGTTTCTTTGAAAAGGCCAAGAGGAAATACATACTAAGATTCTACTCCTCATCATCACTGAAATCCTCCTCTTCCTTGCGTTTCCTTGTCTTGCGCTCAATCTCGCGTGCATGCAAATCCTTAAAAGCCTCGAACTCGGGCAGTGTAACATGGCAGATCTTTGTGGCGAACGTCTTCTCCGATGTGTCAGTAATCTGGTACAACTTGTGATTAGTTGTGGGCTCATCGGGATCCGCTTTCGGGGCGCGCGGCTTGAACAAGCCCAGGCGGACGAGGAACTCGTGCCTGCAGCGCAGCTCCTCAAGGGACATTGACAGACCGCTGGACTTGACCAGCTCTGGCACCTCTATGCGCATTACATCCATGATGTAGTCCACTTTCTCCTCTATACTTTTTTCTGATTGCGCCAGCAAGTCGGGGCTGTTCATCAGCAGCTTCCACACATTTTTGTTGGTCGAAACGCGACTCTTCAGGAAGCCCACATGGGAGAGAAGCTCATGGGAATCGCTGACATCCAATAGCTCCGGATATTTGGTCAGTAGCAGGTGCAGCAGAGTCTCCCCGAACTGGCAGGCGCGCCAGATTTCCAGGCTGCTGATGATTCGCTCTGGCGTTCGCCTCAGCACCGTCGGATTGGCGGTAACAATGCGCAGAAAGTTAACAGTTTCCAGGCCATGATTCTGAAACGTTTCATGGGCTCGCCGCCACAGCTCGGGCGTGTAGATGGATAGTGTGGGCTCCAACTTAATAGCTTCCTCGATGTGAACCGGCTCCAATATTTTCGGCGCAGCGGCTTTCGCGGCCAAGTTCCGCGTGCATTGTAGCTGAAATATTCATTATTTAAACTGTTGTATTGTTGCTCTGTTATATACGCACCTTTTTCTGTTGTCTTAATACAATTTGCGTGTTAAATAATAGTTTTCTCAGCATTCTGCAAATAAAATGCGGCGATGTAACAAAAAAATCAAAACAAGAAACAGCTGTGGCACAGGTGTGACCGCGAATTTATTGGTAAAACATTTTGTCAGCAATATACCGAAATATAACATTACATTTTCAAAATATACCGTAAATTGAAAATCATTTTCCGCTTTTGATGTTCTTATTAATATTACCAGCTTTTTAGGACTCTCAGCACTAAAGCTATAATTATATCCACTTTATAAAAAAATTTTCAACCATCAAATCTACAATTGTTGCGAATAGTATATAATGGTCACCCTGTGCTGCACGTCTTCTTTGAAGTAACTGCTAATGCACCTGTTAAGCTGGTGCTGTTAAACGCATATTTTCTTGCCCGCTAACATATGTTGTGCTTTCAGATATCAACAGTGCTGTCTTCATAATTGGGACACATTATGGATATAAATAGAATTGTCGCAAATAAACAGTGGAAAGTTTTACAATAGTTCTGCTTCAAGTTCAGGGTAAGAGCGCAATTAAATTAAATTGTGGGTGGTTAGATAGCAATGTAATTATGAAAAAAGGAATATTTTCCGGTTGACAGGTGTTCTAGGTTGTGCGGCATTTAATTATGCAATGCGTGTGGTGATACATCAGGAAATTTAATGAATATTACAAGTGTGCATCAAACACTTACAATAAAAAGGGGCAATTGTTCAAACACCTGTTGACAAAGAGAATCAACGCAAATACGTTTCCAAGCTGTAAGTTACAGTGCTGTGTAAAATATTCGAACAGTTTTTGTAAACAAAACGTTGGGATCTTGTGGATGTTCCTTAAAGTTACAGTCCTGTCTACAAAATGATTCTCCTCAGAGTTAAATTATAACTACCTGGGAGTGTTCTACTCCTGGCCACTATTTTTTCAACAAACTTCGGAGATTAACATTTACAGTAATGGCTACGAAAGTATAACCTGTCTATGGCATGTCCCACCTCACTGTAATGATTTAAGACAGGGCTCACAATTACAGTAACTTATAGTTACTCCATTCAAAAGAGGTCACTGTTGCCACCTAGCAATCCAAAGTCAAAGGAAACAAAATTTCAAGAGCAACGGCTTCCAGATTCCAGGTTGCAAATATCAATTACAGTGGCATCTGGAATATTAGAGCGGCCTACGTAGACCACAGATACCGTTCTAGTGACTGCCCAAATCAAAAAATTTCCAGGTTACCGAAACAGTGGCTTCTGAAATATTACAATCCCTTCCAGCAATAAATTGATTTCAGAGCTCGTTTATCGTCGTTTGATAGCAATCGCACACCTGAAATATGTCAAGTAATGATGGGCGTTGGTACACCCCCCGGGAAGGTCAAACTCAATAACATTGTGAAATAAACCGATTTCCTACTGTAAAGTAAAATTCAAAACAATTAATAGCCAAAAGATAAACACCACAAGTGGTTCAGGAGAGGACCACTCTCTCTCTCTCTCTCTTAGCTGATAAGACACACTCTCTTTTTTTCCGGTATTTAATAAACGTCGCACAGTGCCGGCCACAACACTCGTTCACAGATCACACAACAGACATGGCACAAATCATACGTTGGGGCATCGCTTCGGCTGGAAAGATCAGCGAGGATTTTGTCATTGCATTGAGCACACTGCCCGCCAGTGACCACAAGGTTCAGGCCGTGGCTGCCCGCACTCTGGATCGGGCACAGGACTTTGCCAAGAAACACGAGATTCCCAGTGCCTACGGCAGCTACGCGGAGTTGGCCAAGAGCAAGGATGTGGGTGAGTAATAAGGAGTCCTCTTGCCCTAAAAGAACATTGTTATTGTGTCTCTACCGTCCCCTAGATGTCGTCTACATTGGCGTCCTGAATCCCCAGCACTATGAGGTTTCCCTGCTGATGCTGAACAGCGGCAAGCATGTGCTCTGCGAGAAGCCTTTGGCCATGAACAAGAAGCAAGTGGAGGGCATCCTGGCCGCCGCCAAGGCCAACAAACGCTTCTTCATGGAGGCTGTGTGGTCGCGCTTCTTCCCCGCCTACCAGCGTGTACGAGAGCTGACCTCCAGTGGCCAATTGGGTGAGGTCAAAGAGGTTGTGGTCAACTTTGGCTTCCCCCTGGCCAATGTTGATCGTTTGCAGTGAGTCAAGAGAGAATTTAAGCTTGATGATTCCTTTGCTAAAACTTATTTATTTTTTAAAGAAAACGCGAGCTGGGAGGAGGTGTGGTCTACGATTTGGGCGTGTACACCATTCAGGTGTCGCAGTGGGCCTTCCAGGAGAAGCCACAGAAGATCGAATCGAGTGGCACCACCAATGCCGAGGGCATTGATGATGATGTGAGCTCCACATTGACCTATTCCGGTGGACGCACTGCACGCATGCGTTTCTCCTCCAAGGTGAAGCTGGACAACACAGCAGTCATTAAGGGCACCAAGGGACAAGTGACGGTGAGCATTTTAGACTCAATCAATGGCCAGCGAATGGCTCTAAATGAGTTTTTTCCCATCCCCAGCTGATTGACTTTTGGTCGCCCAACAAACTGATTGACATTGATGGCAAGGAGAAGGAGTGGCTGCCGCCCAAGGGCAAATATCCCACAAATTATGGCAACTCCGAGGCCATGCGCTACGAGGCGGAGGCTGTCCGTCAATCCATCATTGCCGGCGATGTGGAGAACAAAAATGTTACCTATGCGGACAGTTTGCTCTTTGCCGAGATTCAGGACACAATTCGCAAGCAGATTGGTGTGCTGAACAAGTACGATGAGGAATAAATTTATAGATTTGTATTAACCATAAAAGATATTAAATATTGTTTTTGTACACGCTACAGGCTACACAATGTGGAGCCTTCTTGGCCACTTGGGAAACTCCTCAGTGCTCAGACAAACACTGCGATAAGATGCGGTGTGGGGCGGGGCATATTGATTGTCGACTGACATTCCCCCTAGGTCGCAGCTCTATCTATCTTTTGGATTGTAATAACATTATTGAGCACAATCTATATATACTATATAGATCACGTTTTCATTGCGTGGCGGAATTTATTCGTGGGGGCAGTGCCATGATTCCTCTTATCTTAAGGTCTAGCGGAGGTTTCTATATCTTATCATGGCTAGGCGTCTGTGGGAGCTAAAAGTTCTAATAGAATGAAATGGTATACTTCTTTGAGGGGCAGAAAACCAAAGGTTAAATATAAAAACCTCTCATTAACATATTTTATAAACCAAAATTCTTTGAACTCTTATAATTTGTAACTTTTACCACATTTTTGTGACACATTTCTTTAGCTTTTTCCCCTTTTACGCAACTGTACTTTTTGCCTTTGACTCGTAGACTATTTTATAGACTTTTGGGGCTTATCTTTAGATAGTCAGGCAAGAAAAAAGGGGCTCGTCTTCTGTGCGATAAGCTGCAATTACGTCAAAGCCCAACGTTTCGTTTGCGTAGAACACTTGAAAGCTAAAGAGTGCCTCGAGACTCTAGAGAGATTCGTAATAGACCTTAGATGTCTTGGAGCATTGAGAAATGAGTGCAGAAATGCGCGTAATATGTACAGAGAGGGTTTTAGATATATTTATCGAGGATAAACAAAAGAGAACAGACTACAAAGAACTCTAAGAAATGCATAAGCCCCAGAAAATGGCATAAGAATTATTTCCTAGCAATTTTTAGAGTTTTCTCGCCTTTCATAGCACCTCAAGCTTACATTCTAAGGCCCCACAATATGTAATACAATTTAAATAGGTTTCCCTTTCCCTTGAGCATCCATCAAGCATCAACCATCAACCATCCACATTTAGAGGCTTGTGCTCTCCACGCTTAAGGTCTCTTATCAGTGGGAATGCAATGAAAAGTGCAATGAATGCAGATGCCATGAGCTGATAGTGCACGGGACTCGGTACTCCGGCACTACGTATCATTATCATATGGCGTCAGTAGCAGCCCGGACACGAGCTAGAGAGACAGAAGACGGAACAATATGCAGAGTCAAACGAATTTAAACTGGGGCATAGCCGCAGCTGGCAAGATCACGCAGGACTTTGTCACGGCTCTCAGCACCATTGAGAAGTCCCGCCATATGGTGGTGGCTGTGGCCGATGTGGATGGCTCTAGGGCGCAGGAGTTTGCACAAAGAAATCAAATACCGCGACACTATGATGGGTTTGATGCCTTGGCCTTGGATCGAGAGGTGGATGTGGTGTATGTGGGCACGCTGAATCCCTTTCACTATGCTGTCGTTCATCTGCTGTTGTCCCGGGGCAAGCATGTGCTCTGCGAGACGCCCATGTGCCTGGCTGTGGATCAAGCCAAGGAGTTGTATGCGCTGGCAGAGCAGCGTGGAGTTTTTCTGATGGAAGGTGAGACGTGAGAGGGATTTAGCCAAATTGTATGCTAATGGAGACACCTTCTTCCATGTAGGCATGTGGTCACGCTTCTTTCCCAGCTACGAACGTCTCAGGGAGCTCCTACAAGGCGATGCCATTGGTGAGGTTACTCTCGTCAAGATCCAGCATGGCTTCCGCTTGGCACATGTCGAACGTGTCAGCAATCGAGAGCTGGGTGGCTCCATCATACTCGATCTGGGCATTTATGCCTTGCAGCTGGGACAATTTGTGTTTGGCAGCTCGCCCGTAAAGATCCTGCCAAGTGGCACGCAACTGAACAAAGATCGCGTGGATGTACAAACCGAGTTTATACTCGACTATGGCGATGGTCGTCGCATGGTGGCTTTGGTCACTGGCCTGGAGAATCTGGAGAACGATGCCATCATTGTGGGCACCAAAGGCGAGATTAAGGTGAGGTATTATCTCCCCCCATTTGACCTACAGCTCAATGGGATTATCAGTGACAACATTGCATACTCTTCTCCTTTCCTTTCTTTTGACAGCTCTCCAATTATTGGTGCTGCACACAGCTGGCACGCTCCAATGGTCCACCCGAAACGTGGCCTCTGCCCAGAGCTAAATTTGATTTCCATTATACAAACACCTGTGGTCTGCGCTACGAGGCGGAGGAGGTGCGTCGCTGCATCGAGAAGCGTCTGCTGGAGAGTCCAAAGTTTCCACATGCCGCCAGTCTGGAGATTATTGCCATTAGCGATGAGATGAGGCGACAAATTGGTGTTACTTTTGATGAGTTTTAGTTCTAAGAATAAATTGAATTCAGGGGAAAGAACTTAGGGATAGGTAGATGGAAACAATTAAATTTTGGCAAAGTGTTAAACTCGTTTTTGTGGCATTTTTAAAAAGGAAAAGGGTGGACATTTGTGCCATTTATGCTGCCATATTATATTGTGATGATTTTTCCTTTCCTATCCACAGAACCTGTAAAAATAAAGAAAATATTAATATAATATAATTTCAAGAAATCCGAGACTTAATTTCGCCTCGACAAAGTGTGTTTAAAATGGAAAATGACAAAGACTTTTATGGATAAACGCATAAGATTAGGGGATCAACACGGACTACATATGATCGCTATGACAAAGGGCTACAAAATTCCCAAGATGTTGCATGAAGATGCATCAAGAAGCTGTTCTATGGCTGCCATTTTCTCTATGTCCCTCTAATTCTCCTGTGGGCTTGTCAGTTTCGATCACTCGAATCCAATAACAAACCTAAGTAGATCAAGTCTCGCTCCCAATTACATAGTTGTGAAGCAATCTTCAAGTTTTTTGGTAGCTTAAAGTCCGCCAGAGAAAAAAGCAGCACGTGGATCACGATTTTTTTTTCAGATGTTGAAAGTTAACTTGTTCTTGGTGATGGCCTTGAGGATGGGCTTTGACGGGTTTACAGTTTTTGTAGCTGAAAGATTACAAATATTTGAATTAATATATAAAGAAATCTTTGGAAAATTGTTGATTAATACAAAACCTTAATCGCCGAATCGGATGCCAAGTTCTTGCAACATTCATTAAAATCTGTTTCTATTTTTGTATTCAATATTTATTTAAATAATTTTGCAATGAATTATTTTCCTTGCTTTATTTTTATTTTTTTTATTATTTTGTTCACTTGCGTTTTGCGTCCGTATCTTTTGTATGCTTTTTGTTTATAATCAATACACTATATGGAGCATATACAATATTAATAAATCAATGTTCTAAATGGTTATTGTTGCTGCCATTTTGTGGTTCTGGGTGGAATTAAATCTTTAAATAAAGTTTGGAAATTAGTGGGAAGGTAACAACTAATTGAATACTTAAACGCAGCATAAAACCCGAGGAAAAAATAGAAGCAACATTTTTTAACTAAATGCAAGAATACAAAAACAAATATATTATTATTATAATTACTATTTTATAACTTATTAATTGTTAATTTTAGAATTGTTAAATCAGATTTAGGGACACAATTAGTTTTTTTGTTGGAAATTTGTTGGAATTAACAATAAATTAAATAAGGAATTTCGAACAGTTTTTGCCTTACATTGTTTTTTATTTTTTGTTTTAAACACAAAAGATTAATGCAGAAACAAATGTTCGCTAGCGAAAACATTATATATTATTATATAATGATTGAAAAAACGAATACAATTTCGCCGAAAACAACGAAAAAGAGAAACTTAAGCAACAGTGTTTCAAATTAAATTTTTCGCATTTACGAGACTAACTAGATTGGGTTTTAGTTTGTTAACAATAAAAAGATGATTTATACAAGGGGTGTGTGTGTGTGTGAGATGTGTGTTTGCGTTTGTGTGTGTGGAAGGCTTGCCGATGCCACTGCCGCCGTGTCGCTGTCACCTTAAACGTAATGAAGTCTTTTGCTGTGTAAAATTGCTATAAAAACTATTCCCAGCTCTCTCTTCTCTTCTCTCTCTATACGTCTGTTTTATGCATTTTCGTTTAGGGATTGCACATCGAGAGGCTGTCGTGGCTGTGGTGCTGTTCGCGGTGGATTGATGGCCGCTATCGTTGGCATTTTACTCTGTACCACCGCCACAATGGGCGTGGGATTGACAAGTGGCGGCGGCAACGCCTCAAAGGACATGCAGCTGCGCTGCGTATCCTCAACAATGGGCGGCGTATCAATGGAGTCGATGGTGGAGGAAGTAGAGTTGGTTCTGACGCCACTGTAACCCTCGGAAACAGCCACCAAGGCGGCGGTGGTATTGCGATTGTGCTGCAGCAGATCATTGATCTGGGAGAGGCGTGAGGAACTGGCGAGCGGTGCATTCAGATTAATGAAATCATTGGTCGTGGCGGTGGCCGAGGCAGCTGCGGCGGTGGCGACGGTAGCGGTGGAGGAGGAGGACGCGGCTATTGTGGTGCCACTGAGGCGATTGCAACTGCTGCTGCTGCTGCTGCCACTGATCGATGAGGCAGCAGTCATGGAGGCGGCGGTGGTTTGATATTGGGCATTGCTCGACGCTGTCGTTGTGGCATTACCAAAGGGCGGCGCCGATGGCACCGAACAGGATCTAAAACCGCCACTGGGCGCGACGGCAACGGGTGATGCAGCAAGCGGTTGATAGGCGGACTGGTAGGAAGTGAGCTGCAAGAAAAGGTTTAAGGCAAAATCCTTTGGTTTAATTGTGTTTGCCACTCACCTGTGCACTGCCGTAGCTCAGAGATTGATAGAGTTCCCCATAGGAGGGTGTGGCATTGCTGCCTGTCGCAAACAAACCCGAATCCAGGCTATCCAACTGTGCATAGGCCGCCGCATAGCTGCTCTGTGGCTGCTGCTGCTGCTGGGCATTGCTCGGGAGAATGGGAGGAGACACAACCACCACAGTTTGTTGCTGTTGCTGCTGGTAGTAGCTGAGACTGCTCTCGGGCGTGTACGCTGGAGAGGCATAACCCGAACTGTAATTCGATTGGGTTTGCATGAAGTAACAGTGGGAGGCGGCGGCTGTGGGGGAGGCCACAGCACCACTGGGCACACCTGTGCCCACGGAAGAGTACGTGAGGGAGCTGCTCTGCGGCGGCTGTTGCTGTATGTGCCCCTGGGCGCCCTGACGCTGCTCCAGATCCAGCCGCATCACCGTGTGAATGTAGTGGGTGCGCACACGCGTCGGATTGAACTCCACGCGGCCGACGGTGTTGCCGCAGGCCTCGCGCGAACAGCCGCATGGGAACATGGAGCGATCCACCTGGCATTTGATGCCCGCCTGGCTGCAGGCGCAGGTCTCCGGATCGCAGAATTCCCTGCACGAACAGCCGCACACTTCGCGGGAGTTTCGTATGTCTCGGCACTCGATCTTCTCGCTGGCATCGATCTTGCGCACGCCCGCCGCCTTGAGCAGCGCACGCCGCTGCTTGGGCGACATTGTCGTGAGGAAACCATTGGAGCCATCGTCCGCATCCGAGCCGCTGCCCTCGCTGAGGAAATCCTCCTCCGATTCCTCGGTATCGTCGCTGCTCGAGCCGCGTGGCTGCACATCCTGATTCTGGCTGCGATGCGCACGCCTCAGCTCCGCCGCATGCTCCGCCAGCGTCATAGTCTTAAAGGCAATATGGCGCGCACCCATCCCCAGCGTACAGCCACCGATGGTGGGCACACAGCTGAATCCCTGCTGCCGAGGGAAGTAGTAGATTTTGACATTGTCAAAGTTAATGCTGCGCTTTGGCCGCTTCTGTGCCGCCACGGTGCTGGTTGTGGAGAGTGCAGAGCCGGACATATCGGGCACCAGATCGATGGCATCGCTTTCGTTATCCTCCAGCCGACGCTTCAGATTCGAACGCTTGGGTTCCGGCACCGCTGATGATTGCTGCTTGAGCGTAATTCTGGTCGTTTCGCTGCCCAATCCCGAGTCGGATCCACCGTCCCGCAGCTCATCTTCTTTGGTCTTGGCCTTGGCCTGTGGCACAGCGACGCTTCTGCCACCAACAGCCGCTCCGCTCAGTGCCTCCGATTCCGTGTTGAGTTTCAGCCAGAGCAGATCCCCGCTGGTGTCCACCTCCTCGTTGGTGGTCACCGAAGACGAGTCCAGAATATTGTCTATGGCCAGGGGATCCTCGGAAATGTTGTCCGAGGCAAGGGAAGTGTTGAGCAGATCTGTCTCGCCCAGGACGATAATCTCGTTATTGGGAAAATTATCCAGTTCCAGGAACTGTTCGTCCAGTTCGCCATCATTGGGCGTCACCGGTGCATTGGCAAAGTCCGCCAGCTCATCATCCATTTGGAGATTGGAGGGCAGCTGCAGCGGCAGCGTCATAGCCATGGCCTTGGCCTTGGCTGCATGCACTTTCGTGGCATCGATTATGGATGTCTTGATTTGTCGCTCAATGTCATCCTCCATGATGAACTCGTCCGCCTCTTCGTCCTCGTCCTCTTCCTCCTCCAGCAAGAGCCCACTGTCCTGTGCCTCATCCTCATACTCGATGCGTCGCCTCGTGGCAGCGCCCTCCTCATGCCCATTCAATGGTGGTGCCACCGTCGCTCCTCCTCCCGCTGTTGCAGCTCCCGCTGCTGTGGGTGTCGTTGTTGGGCTAAACATGTTGGAGCTGCTGGCATTTTTTTGTATGTACGTAAAGATCTTCTTAAACATGCTCCTCGTGCTTTAGGCCCCCCAAAAAAGGGCTGGGGGTGAGGCCTATAAAACTGGGTTTCACTGCCGCAGGGCCCGCAACATCTGTGAAAAGAAAAAAAAACGTCTGGAATCAAAACCTTTTCAATGGTTTATATAACGAAAGGTAGGAGGGGCTGAGCGGATATACAAAAATCCAAAAAAGGCCAGGCCAGGCACCGACCGTACGAACCCCTCCGATCGGGTGTGTATATTGAAACATTATTTGAGACTTCCTGCGACTGAGTAGGCCACCGCCCAGTGGCCAGGGGGCCAGTTGAGCACCTAAGCGATCGCTGGCTTAGAACTTTTTTACTTAAAATTGTTAGAGTTTTCTGTTGCAACTTGAGAAAGGCAAAGCAATATTTCCACTCGAACCAAACACCTAAAATCAATAATGTTTAGGTGCAGCGTGGGGGCGTAGAGGGGGTCGCTACTAAGGCAGGACTTACACACCTTTGCAAGCAGTATGCTGTGATTTTGGGCTACGGCAAGGATTCTGTGATTTGTTGGTGTTTTTGTGGCTCCTTTCTGGAATTTGCGTTGCAGCTGCGATGAAAAGTGCGACGATGTGAGCGACAGAGAGAGATGACGAAAGGCGCAACTTTGCATGTGTGTGTCTGTGTGTGTGCGTGGAAGGAGGCGCAGCAGCAAATGGCAATCGTTCGAGTTGTTTGCTGGTGTGTGAGTGCGATCTCAGATTTTTATAGGACGCGCGGCTGCTTTTATAATTTAGAAACTATATAATTTGTATACACTTTAATTAACTCTTTTTTTGCACTTTTTCGCTTTGTGGGAGCAGAAAGATATTCTGCTCTTGCAGTTTTTCTCACTTTTCTTACGTTTTCACTTGTTATTGCTGCGAAACTATCGTGGTTAGTGATAGCCGCGTGACCTGTGGTCTATCGCACTGTTGCTAAATCAGCTCTTTTATGGCTGCTTCTGGCTCTTTTGAAAGTTCTGTAATAAAATACAAATTTTACTAGCCCAAAAAGTTTTTAAGTATCTGCGAATGGACCGTTTCCTTGATATGATAGAGTCAACCATTTTAATAGAAACCCAAGAACGAATTGGATTTGACATGGATAGAATGGATGCGATGCATCATACATCAATTATAGATACATAAAATTGCTTCAATTAGCACGATTCTGATGGCGAATTTGTCCAAACAAATAACCAAATGGAAGTTTTGTTAATTTTAAATTAGCAGTTTTTATTCACATATAAAAAGCTAGTTTTATTGCCACAAATTGGCATTACTGATCACGCGGGACACGAACTCCAAAATCAATTAAATCTTCATTGCAAAATTTGTTTTAAAAAGATCGGAATTGGTGGTTATTAGAAATAAACCGTATTTGTTGATAGGCCAGGGAACTTGGAACTTTGTAATACTTAAACATAAATATGTTCGATTAATGTATAATGTGTTCAAATCACGGCATGTGGCACATCTCTAAAATGAAAATCCTGTAATGACGGGGGTTAAGTTCGTGGTTTCCTCGGTATAGTTACGGTATTTTTTAACAATAGAAGTTATATTTATGATTGGAAGACGGGTACACTTTACCCATACCTTCGCGGTCACACTGATTAGAAAGACAATTTAAGGCAAATTTTTACTACGAAAATGAGTTCACTGTTTACTTACGATATATCTGTATATAATGATGTATATAATGAATTTTATACGTCCAATATATTTAATTTTTAAGTTATATTCCAGAATATAGGGTATCGAAAATCTCATATGCATGTTTTTTATATGTTCCTCGAGGATAACGTACATTCTATCCCATAACGTAACGTTGAATGCTTTTTTTGACCGTTGATCGTTTTAGTTTGATCTTTTTTTTTGTTAACAGTCCAATAAAAAAAAATCGTATGCATTGTTGATTCATTAACCGGATACAATTTTCGTTTTAGCGCTGAGAATCCTAACTAGTTGATAATATTAAGCAGAATATCAAAATCGAGGAACATGTAATAGGACATACGGTATACTTGCGGAATATTTTGAAAATGAAAAGGTATATTTCGGTATATTTATGAGGGTCGGGGTATACCTTTATCCATAAATGCGCGGTCACACTGGCTAGAAAGTTGTAAGTTTTAACAATAATTGCTTATTTTATTTGCAAAAACACAGTGCTAAGTGCAAAGAAAACCTGGGTTTGTACCTGGGATACACGAAAAGTGCAAGTAACGCTGGAAATTCGTGAGTTCGCCTGAGTAATTGACAAAAACAAGACTCGGGCACTGGCAACTCAAAAGTCAATCGCCTTCCGTCTCTGCCTGTGTGCGTTTGTTGGTGACTGGGTGTAGAAAGAGAGGATTCTGAGAAACGCAAATAATCTGTCTAAAAACAAAGTGGCTGCTGAAAAGAGCAGAAATAAGTAATAAGTGTGCAAAAATCGATTCTCGCAAAATCAATGTGCGCAACGTTATGAGAATCAAGTGTTATAGCCCAATATTCCTTTGTTGTTTCCCCATTAATTAAGAAAGTTGTGTAAAAATTTTTTCCACCATTATTATCGTCATCGATAGCAGAGAGAGACTGCGGCCGCAGCAAGCAATGAGAGCGAGCGAGTGAGATAGATGGCCATGAATTTTTGGGTGCGTTTTATTCGAGCGTGTGTGACGAAGCGAGATGGCACTAAAGGCTGCTGGTGCTCCAACTGCAGCGTGCACAGTGGTTGACAATAGCGCAATAAATCAGTTTTCTATGTTTGCATCCGAAAAGCTAATGCAGAACAGGTGCGGGAGAGGTACCTAGACGATCAGCGATCTCATTAACTCTTGACCAGTATGCACTCTTTCCCGCTCCATGCAATGAAAATCACTTGTTCTTTGTTCAACTTGGTTTTGCGTCTTAATTATGGTGTCTGTGTGTGCGTGAGTCTGTGTGTATTTATCTGCAATCCGTTTCTTATCGTGCCAGTCACCGAACCCCCCACCGTTCACTGCAGATTCCCTGAAGCGGGATGACTTTTTTCGCACAAATTTTCCTTGGAGGCGAAATGTAAACAACATCGCATCAACATATTTTCTCAACTTCCCTTTTTTTATATTTGTGTTATATTTCGATAAATTTGCATTTTTGAAATTGTGAACACTGTGGAGGGGGACAAAGAGAGAATTGATTTATCGTTCTCTCCCCACACACCCACAGTGCATATACCGTATGTTTGTTTGTGTGTTGGCTGCCAAGTGTATTCCTATTCTCCTTTTACGGAGGTCCGTTATGCGTGCTGTGAGAAAATTGCACTTGTTGACTTTAAAGTGAGACAATCTTACAGGTCTCCTACAATTTTTAAAGAAATTTTCCACTCCACTCGTTTAGTTGTGTTTGGTGACATACAATTCCATACAATGTGTAATATAATCGTGTGATCGTGACCATTTCTGAATTCAAATAGCAACCATTTTAATTAATCAACCGAATCATTCATATTGGATGAAGTACTATACTGGATTTCGAAGTATATAATAAATTTGGATTATCAAATTGGCGTGCTTGCTGAGATTCGGCATATGCATTCTTTTTGCAACTCCTAAATCTGATCATACTTTATTGACCTTTGCTGTGTTGAAAGTGCGTGTTTATGCCCGTTCTCTACACTATACAGCTTTTTCTTTCTCTCTTCTGGGTCCCATGTGGAGAATGATTGTGTGGGTACTTGTGTGAATGACGCATAGTCAGCTGTTTCAAGACCAAAGCAGCGCCAGCGGCAGCAGTGGGGGTACCGTAATTTCCTGAAACTAAGCTGGGACGTTGTTTTATATTTTATTGAATTTTCCGCGGACGGGTCGAAGGCCAACTGTGCCGACGTTTAGTATTAAAGTACTGTACATATTTAATATTTGCTAGTCATTTCCGTATGTGGGTGAGTTTTGCCGCGTTACCAGATGCTGCTGTTGCTGTTAAACTCTTCGATATGGAAGTTTCAGATTTTCCAAACCAGACCATGAGACGTTGATTATAATTTAGTTTGGAGCTCTTAAATTGTTTCAGAAAGTGTCTTTCTATGTGTGGTGTGCTGATATAAAAAACCATAAAATTCAAAAATACGTCATTCACGAACAAACAAAAAAGCAATTGTAAGCGAAATTTGCCGCAATTGAAAGAGAGAGAGTGAGAGCTTTCTAGACAAAAGAGCAAATTAGCCGCATTCCCAGTGATAGAGTGAGAGAGAGAGAGAGAGTGTGGCTTGACAAGCTAACTGTGCACTTTGCTCCGTAAGTCTCTACAAAAGCAATGTAAGCGAAAGAAGAAAAAAACAATCGTAAAACTGGCTTTACTTTTTCAATGCTGGGAGAGAGAGGCCTCCCATCTGTCTCTCTTCCCTTTGGTTAATTTAATAATGCTCGGAAATAAATATGCCATGCTTTTACTTTCTCTCTACCCGCTTCTGCTTGTGTTGCTTCTACTTCCAGCCAGTTACAGCCGCTCTCTGCCGCCCCTGCCGCTGACTGTTTAATTTATTTTGCATTGATTTTTATCAGAAAATCTTGACAGCATCCGCCAGCGCAACGCCCCCACTTTCCGCCGCCTGCCCTCACATTCCTACTCCCCATTCATTCACACTCTTCTCTTGTCACTCTTATGCCCCACCCGTACTTCTCTGGTCCACCTACGGTCTGTTTCACTCTCTCCCACTTGCAGTCTCCGCCATGCTCGCGATTTCTCTACAAATAAGAATCCCGCATGATTTGTATACCCTGTTGGTGGAAGGTATGGCAATTTGAATCAAATGTTTGCCACACAGAGAATGAAGATCGTCCAACACACGAGACCATGCATCCATATGGCAGATATTTTAGATCAACAATAAAAGACTCATCGACTTAGTCAGTTTTCAAGACACCAATTTTCTAAGACTCTTACCATCACAGACAGAAGGCCCTGCAAGGGTATCAACCGCTCGACTACCAAGATGTGACTTCCTTTGTATTCTCTACAACGATCCCGCATGTTATTTGTTGAGTCTGACCAGTTGGTTGTGTACATTTCTGTGTACTTTTTAGCATTAAGATGTTAATTAATTTGTGAAGATTTCAATTGAATAGGAGCTGCACTCTTACTTGAGAGGAAATTTTTGTTTTAGATTCGATAACAGACGGCAAACGGTGGAACATGATTCATAAAAGTGACACTGATAACAGATAGTGAGGGCTGCACATACACATATTGGCCAGTTGTGAATAATACTAGGCGTCCCCTTTTATATCTGTGTGTATGTATGTATGCATTATTATTAATTTCTGTTGTATTACGTACCGCCCTCGAAAAAAATTATCACAAAAATACTTATGCACGAATATTATCAACTAAAGTAGCTGAATTTTTGTGGAGTTACAGAAAGATAACAGTGCCATAGACCGATAGGAACACATTTTTATTTATGCTAAACCATTATATTTGTGTTTGAAGACAAAACGCGAACAAGAAAACAAAAAACAATAATTGCGCTTAAACAACTTTTGTATGGTTTCCCGGCAAGTATTTTTAGTTGTTTGCTAATTGTTTGTTTATCCGTTTTTGTCGTTTCGGTTCGGTTTGTTGAAATAATTTGAAACGGCAAAACGCAAACAATCTTTAAACACATTCTTGACATTGAAAATGTTCTTCTTAGTCGTATCTTTACTCGTTTCTAGGATTTGCAGATAATCTGAGCATGGGTTTATCATATGAGATGATAGGGGCGGTAATAATACAAATGATAATGCTGGAAAAATGCTATATAAAAAGATGTATGCTAATTCAAGCCCTTTCTAAGCCTGTATGAAACTTTACTAAGATTTGAAAGAAAACGAAAGAAAACTTCCTTTTAATTATAATTAACGTATTAAACTTATTTGGTTATTGATAAACTTGTGTCATTGGATACTCAAGTGAGTGCCATACAGGGTTAATGATGATAATTGAATTCAATTTGTGCTTTCAATGCAATCCAAAGGGCGTTTCGCTTTCTATTTCCATGAGATTTATTGATTGCTTGGCACGCTCTCTCTCTCTCTCTCTCTCTCTCTCTACGTTCTCTGGCACTCTCCTTGCTGATGCACATATCGAATTAAATTTGTGTTTAGTCTTGTCCGGTCATTAAGTAAACGAAAGGCGCCACTCTGCTTACATGACGTTTCATATTTCAACGACACAAATAATCCATAATGTGGCCTGCTCTGCTGCCTTTTCAGATAACATAAACCCCATAGCAACACACACTCTGAGAGGGAGTACATCAAACCACACAGAGAATAAAGTAACCGTCCGATAAATCCGATACACCCCGCATCATCAGTTTTGCATTGTATCCCAAACAACAGAAAAGGAGCCCGACAAGCGACACGGATTGATCATGGCCACAACACCACGCAGCGGCGGTGCCGGCTCTGGAACGGCACAGCGACCGAATGGAACCTCTCAGAATAAAAGTTGCCAATTCAAGCTGGTGCTTCTGGGTGAATCTGCTGTCGGCAAGTCGTCGCTTGTGCTGCGCTTTGTCAAGGGACAATTCCATGAATATCAGGAGAGCACGATAGGTGCGGCCTTTTTAACACAAACCATTTGCATAGAGGATACTGTGGTGAAGTTTGAAATTTGGGATACAGCCGGCCAGGAGCGGTAACTATAAAATATAATTTATTTAAATGAAACGCTCAACTAATGCTTTACCTTTTTCTCTGTATTTTTTGTAGATACCACAGCTTAGCTCCCATGTATTATAGAGGTGCGCAGGCCGCCATTGTTGTCTATGATATACAGAATCAGGATAGTTTTCAGCGTGCAAAGACCTGGGTCAAGGAACTGCATAAACAAGTGAGTTTGCCAGGAATCGCGAGTGTGCCTCCGAAGGCAAGGTCAATGCAATCTCATGCAGAAGAATGTTTTATATACATATGTTTATTTGCGAGTATTATTGCCATTTATGATTGTTAATTCTCTTTGTTGTTGTAAATTGCGGCCCCCAGTTGGCAGGGGCATTGAACTTATTTCATGGCATCCGCGCATTCATTCACGCCTCATTGCTATTATATACTTGACTGAGGTTTCAATTTGGGGAGAGAGAAGGCTCTTTTTTTGTGCAGGTAGAAGTCGAGTAAACCTTGGACCATAATAAGTAAAAGAAACTATTTTCATGGTTATTTGAGAAGAATATTCAAAAATTTTGGATTGTTGTAGGGTTTATAATATAAGAATCAATACCACACACAATATTATAAGAAATACCTCTCAAATGTTTTATTAAATTAATGTTTTCCCATTTATTTATTGCTCAGGCCTCACCAAACATTGTCATTGCGCTGGCCGGCAATAAGGCGGATCTGTCAAACATTCGTGTCGTGGAGTTTGATGAAGCGAAGCAATATGCCGAGGAGAATGCCTTGCTGTTCATGGAAACGTCTGCGAAGACGGGCATGAATGTCAACGATATCTTTTTGGCCATTGGTACGCCAATAAAACCATTCAATAAATACAATATAAATTAATTGATTAATTTTTATTGCAGCCAAGAAACTACCTAAGAACGATGGCGCCAACAATCAGGGAAGCAGCATAAGGCCGAATGGGAACGAAACAAATCGACCGACAAACAACTGCTGCAAGTGATGTCCCTTTGTAGGTGAGAGTCTTGAATATCTAAAGGATGGATGGATGCAAACTAATTTTTAACTTTCTTTCTTTCAGAAAATGAAATTTCCAACAAGAGATTTGAAAAGTTTATGCTGATAATTATAAATAAAAAAAATTATTTAAAAATTTAACAAAAAAAAGAAAACCGAAAAGAGAAACACATACCTAAAAAAAAAGCAAAAACGAAAACAGCAACCGGCTCTCATAGGGGCAAGAAAAATTTTTCATAATTGCTAATTATTTGGTGATGAGATGAGAACCGAAAGAAACGTTATAATAAAAAAAAAACCATATAATATTAATTATAAATTAAATATAAAACAGAAAAAAACAGAGGAAGAAGCCTCCCCAAGCTTCACTTCACTATCCATTCATTTAGAAACGAAGCGAAAGCGATTTTCATATCTGACACGCCTAGAGAGCCCTCCCACAACAGACCACCCCCCAAGAAAATGTGCTAATCAGAATTCCAAACACACAAACACACACACACACACACCATAAACCATTTCAAATAATAATAATTATAATACAAATAATGAACAAAACAATTCGATTTGATGGAAAAGAAAGCGCGGAAAGGTTTTTTGCATAGTTCGCATCGTGTCGTAGAAAAGTTTGAAATTGTATTGTATAAAAAAAACCAGCAAGAAACAGAAAACAGCAAAGAATATTTGTAAAATTTACATTTTCTTGTAAGTTTCTAAAGTAAAAAAAGAAATTCCAGTTGCAGTTGTTCTCAGCAGCGTTCCAAAAAATAAGAGAAGAAAATGTTCAGGTCCTGCGGCTGATAAAGAAGAAGATCCTCTCGCTCGCCCGCAACGGATCTGTGGCAATGTGTGTGTCTGTCCGGCTCTGGAGGGCGGAGAATCGCCTCCCGCCCCGCCTCCAAGCTGCGACGGACACGTGTGATAGTTGCAATTTATATAAATTATATATACACATATGAAAGAAAAAAACAAAAACAAAAACGAAACCAACAAAAACAAATTATTTCATAATTTTTATCTTTTTTTTAATGTATTTTCTTTTTGCATTGAGTTTGATTTTTTTCCACATTCTAGCAACAATCGAAGATTTAATGCTATTTATCTTTAAACAAAAACAAACAAAACTATCGTAAAACCATAAAAAATAAATTTAAAAAGAAATCTTACGTCTAGTATGCAATTAAGCGTTGGATGGAGAACGGGAGAAAAACGAGTAAAGTGAAGTCTTTAAAAATAAACCTTGAAATACTTTACCTAAATAAAAAACAAAACGAACCACACTCAATATACCACAACAAAAATTCTTGTTTGAATCATCGTGCCACCCAATAATCTATTCTATCAACATTCGATCCACATTTATATTGTAACTTGCAATCAAAGAACCAATCGAGAGATGATTTCCAACAGAACAGCCAGCCCAGCCCACTCTTATTTTTTTCCAATTTATAATTTCTATGTTGTCTGTATGTATTTAAATTTAAACATTTATAATAAAACGAATGCATCGTATATACTTATATATATATATATATATATATACATCTATATATGTATATTAAGTCATTCGATTTGAATCGAGAATGAAACAACATGGCAGTGTTCGCTTAATCGATCGTTAGACTGAAGTTCTTAGAACCAAAAGGATGATGCTTTAGATTTTTATAGATTTTATACGTTTTCTGTTCTTGGTAAAAACGAGTAAATCTTCAACTAGAGTTATCCTAAGCCAACTTTCGAAGCTTAAACAAGATCACACCCATAGATAGATCATAGATAGAACAAGATCGCTTACACGCAATTTTTGATCATTTAGGATTGAGTTCTCACTAAATCAGCGGTGGCTATGATCCTCGTCATGCACACGACATGTATTGTTTTTGCATTTTAGAGCATTATCAAATATATTTTGTAGCCAAAAGTGCTCTACTTTTATTTAAAGTTCTAGAGAAAACATTTTAAAGTTTTCTGTAATGTTTTCCACCAATTAATCATCAAGAACGTGATTCACTGCCGCAAATCTTTTACAGTGAATAAATCAAAGGCCTCACTGGAGGTTATTCTCAGTCGTTACAATTAGTACAGAACTCAACCGCTCAGAGGCAGAATGCTGCGGACAGACTTCGAAGTTGTCCGCTTGGGCTCCTCCAATGTGGGCAAGACATCGCTGATTTCTCGCTACATAAACGGCGAAACTATGGAACGTGGACAGCCCACAGTCGGAGTTGAGTTTCTGGTAAAGACAATCTGTGAACCGCATTTAAATTTAAGAACTAAGATCTGGGATACAGCCCGTCAGAAATGGTGAGTGGGTTGCTAATCTATAGATCTGCTTAAAGTCTCACAGTTTGGTTTAGTTTCAAGGACATTTTACGAAGATATTATACAAATTTTCAAGGAGCTTTACTTGTCTACGACATACACACTCGAAAGAGCTATGAGGCTGCAAAAGAGTGGGCAGTCGAGCTCAAAGAAAAGGTAAAATGGAATCATAATTCTAAAGTTGAAAATAATCTTTTGATAATGTGAAACTCCAGCGCTGTATACGCAGGATAGTGATAGCTTTAGTGGGCCATAAGGCGGATATTACGGATCAGCGTACTGTAACCACCATTGAGGCTGAGGAATATGCCAAAGAAAATAGTTTAATCTTTTGGGAGACTTCGTCTGTTACAAATATGAACATAAACAAATGTTTTCACGATGTGGGTTGGTTTTAATCGGTTATATCATTAGTGATTATATATTTTATTTTCCACTCGCTTTGTTTTCTAGTTTTGGAAACGAAAAAAGCTGAAATCTGCAGCTGTTTCGAAGGCTTCAACCGATCTTCTTGGTATTTATAGCGGCACAATCTTTGAAAAATAAAGCTGAAATATTTATAAATTGATTTATTTTTGTAAATAGATTCCACCAATAAAACAAACCTTTCCTTTTGGTTTATTAACTTTCTCTATTTTCCGTTTTTCGTTTTTTATATTTTTTATTTAAAATTATAACTGATTAAGTTGTCTCTCGAAATAAATACATACTTAATGTACTGCGTTTTTGTTTTGGTTACACTTTACCAATTTATTTTTTCATGTATTGTATATCGTATTGTATATATTTATATATAAGGTTCTTATTTTTTTTGGTTTCTTGCTACTTGGTTGTTTCCATTTATAAGAATAATTATATTGTATGACTTTTCATAACTATAGATCTTGCCGGTATGGGCTTCTTTTTTTTTGGTTTGCTTTGAGTTAGATAAATCATAGTTTAGAGAGCGACCGAGATTATACACTAACTTACTACAAGGCAACTAAATGGCTTCAATCGGGAGAGAGCATTATGCTATATAACGTATACAGATAACAGGGAAAACAATAATATATTATACGTTATAATATTAACTTAGATAAAAGTCATTTAAAAATTCAACAAATCAAAAATGGCAGAAACGTAGGGCAGTTTTCGTAGAGAGTGTTTTGAGTTAATAGAATTGAAAGAGAACACAAATTCTGGATAGTCTTTATATAAATAGAGTTTATAGTTATAACTGCATAACAAAAATGCTCAATCAACAAACAAACAAAAAACAAATATACATTCAGTTAAAGACTCTTTTCGTTTTTTAGGGTGTTCTTCTTTATCCATTATTCCATTTGAAATATCACTTACGTAAGATAAGTTTTATATCTGTATTTGGTAATCGGTATTCACTAGATTTAGTTTTTACTTCCTAAACTATATAATTTTGTTTCAAGAGTTTAGTTTTCTTTCTTTTCAATTCTTTTTCAATTTCCATGATTTTTTTAAGTCTAAACTTTTTGTCTTTTTTTCAGTTTTTTCTGCTTTTATTTCTATAAAATTTACAAAATTACGTTCCTTTGCTTGTCTTTTTTAAATTAATCGATCTTTAATCGATAGCTTTTGCCCCAAAAATTGATGCCGGGAAATATGTCGTCCATGTCCTATAATAATCTCGCCTTAACACTTAGCTTACAAGTAGTTCTCTTCACTTTCATCCATGCACTCGTATTCAGTTTGCTCACTTCCCCCTATTTTTGGAATCTTCTTTGTTTTTTTGATTATTTTGATACTGGGTTTTTTTTATACAACAATCGGCTCATCACCGTGAAGATCACAAGAGCCAATATTCTCGCCCTGATACGACGAGAAATCGTTGATAATGGCCTTTGGTTCGGCTCCGAACTGTATGTCCTGCAGGCAGCCCTTGAAGGGCTCAAAGTAGCGGCCCTGCGTGCGTTTGCTAACCGAATCCAGATTGGGGAAGCCGCCTGTAAAGGAAATTGAATATACATATATTAAGAATTTGTTTTAAATGATATTTTAAATTTGAACGGTAACAGGTCTTAATCACTCTGTTAACGTTAACAGCCACCTCTTTGGATTAACATTTTATGAATTTAAGCATAACATTCGCTTAAGTTGGCAGTCTGACTCGACAAACAACGCAAATGTGAGCTGTCACGTTTACAGTTACATGCAATTGGCTTATATTGCCCGTATCAAACGCTTTCGTTTGAGAGAATATTCTCAGAAGAGACTTTGCTACAAGCGTATTAAATTATTGTTGCAGTGTTAAAAGTCTTTGCAAGGTAGTAATATCAAATAGAACATCAAAGTCGAGGAATATGACTTAAGACTACGGTACATTTACGGTAATTTTAAAAAGAGAAGGTATGTTATGGTATATTCTAGATGGTCCGACGGTATATTTGATCGATAATTACACGGTCACACTGCATACCACGCTCAAAACAAAACAACAGCTCAAAATCCAGACAACAACTTTTAAATTTCGTCGGTTTCTAAAGATAATGTTTATGTTTTGCGGTGTGAATTAAGTGTGACAGGGGCAAAGCTAACAAAAAATCAGTTGCCAAGCGTATTCAGACTAAATAACGTGTAAAAAAACAATAGAGCAACTCAACAAGTGGCTTTTAGGCCAATGTTTGTCGGTTTGTATGCGTTTGTTTATGTTTTTCTGTGT